GCGCAGGCTGAGTGTTTTTAAAGTGGTAGTGACCTCCATCATAGCTGCTGATGCTTTCATGTTCTACAGGATAAAATAAACTGCACTATTCCCACATGTTATTTTATGTTCACAAAATCAAAACTGGTGATTCTACTTTTTGCTCAGAGATGCACACTAAAGCATGACTGGATCTTTGTCATTATGGAACCCTTAGTCACCAGATAAGGGACAGTCTGCCTACTCAATACCTCACACTCCTGCCCAAATCACCTGGATTCTCACCTCTGCCAGCATTCATCCACGTTTGTGAGCTAAACAGTAGAAGATATTTTGAGCTCTTTTCATGTATGGAGCCCCTTATGATCCTGTAATAGATAAGCAGGTAAAGACAATTGATGAATGTGTGTTTGTGAATAAATATTTTAGAAACAGATCAATATACCAGTCAATATTAGCTCACTACAGGTAGACTGGTGTATATGTAGGATAATAAGCAACAAAAGAAATTGCGGTACAGAAATGCCACACTACCTTTGACACAGTTTAGAAATAGTTACCATTACATAGTTTTAACTTTAAAACATTCTGCTCAGTAAAACAAAACTAAGAGAACAATGCCAGATTGTTTATGTTAAAAAAAAAGTTCCATTTGCTCACATATCATCAGATTTCTTTAAACTCTCAAATACATATATCAGAGTTGGCCTAAAAGAACCTGTATCAGTTGGACTATATAATGATTTATATGCATCTGTGTATGCAAGCTGGAGGTTGTTATTTGAAGAATGAGTCTGTCTTAATGCTCCACAACCTCAGCAGCTGCAAGCTGGACTTATGAAACAAGGCCGTGTAAAGCTTAGCCAAGTACTATAATGAAGATGGTGCCATGAGGTGACATGAAAGATGCACTTATCTAAAGAGTGAAGTGTGGAAAAACTCTCAGTCACAACACACTGTACTACGCCGACACTGTCTGTGGAGCAAACAGACAGATGCTGAAGATTGTGATGATCTTCAGTTGCCCTACATTTACACTAGAGTTCCTTAGATAAGCAGCTCCACTGATGTAGCCAGATGGACAGACACAGCTTCCTTAGGACACTGACACATAGTTAGCTCTGCCACAGCTCACTAAGGACAACTGGATAACACAAGTTAGACAGGCTGCCAACTGTGTCACATTCAGAAACTTGGGCCAGCCACGTTACTGTTACTATGTATAGCATGACAGGCAGGCTATAAGGAATCAATGTTATGGTACAGTATATGATCAATTTAAGAGATTTGTGAAGATTAAGTGTAACCTATGGCTACAAACAAGTGAATCCACATTTTTAATTACTACTAAAACAAGTCAAGAAAATTATTTTAAAAAGACCATTAGACAAATACTGACTAGATAGTGAGTCTGTCTGTAATGAAAAACTGATAATCATAGTATTTCACCACTAAAGTAAATGCATCCCTCCATCTCATCCAGTTTCAAAACTGTGTAAGGTACAATGTAATACAATGGAAATGACAATAAACTAATATTGCATTAACATTTTAAATAATAATAATAATAAAATAAAAATACTACAGCAAAAAGTCTGATAAATGGCATTAACTTTTTTCTGACATTAGCTGCTGTTGTCTGATATGAAAGTTGTTGTTTAGCTAGCCTTACTTGTGTTTGTGTTGTCCCATGGTGTACCCACAGCATGATGGGTTACATTATCTGATCTCAATCAGATCAGGCTTCATTTGGCAGATCCCAGTCAATTAAACACCAGCTGAGGACCACAGATTACACAGCCCAGTGGAAAAATTAAAACCAGCTGCTGATGGCCGTCAGTGAGGACCTACTGACCCTGACTTTGTAAATCCACAGCCTACTAAACAGACTAACGCCTGTCATAGTGTAGGCTGAGACAAAACAGAAGAACCGGTTTTAAATGTGGCCCATTACACTTACAAAACAACAGCAACTGTGAAAACGCCTTGGATGACACATAGCAGGCTGACAAGTTTATATGTGCTGCAGATCACTAACACCCAGCTTTACGTGCATGGTAGTTATCAGTTCCTCCCCTACCACAGCTTCAACTGAGGCTGAAGTATTTAATTGTATTCACACACCTGGGTTGATGGCAGAGTAAGAGAGCACAAGTTTGAATTTTTGTAGAAACCAGGTTATTTAGAATTATCATTTCATTCTCATTATTCATTTTAGATAAAAGGAAGCATCACTGCCTTTCATCACTCTGAGATTTTCACAGCATTCCCTGTCTGAAGCCTTTATTATTGCACATACACTTTTCTAACAACCACGCTAAACATGCACTCTAAATGGCCGATGTCTGGTCTAGGAATTTAGCTGTATTAACTAAGTTTCTCTTGATTCCTAAACCATATCAAGAAAACAGGGTTTCTTGCTAATAGCAAGGTTAGGACTCTGGGAAGGGAATAAGGCTGGCCAGAGGACAGGACTGTTAATGGCAGTTGAGCTAGGAGTGGCAGACATACAAAGGAATGCTATTCACAGGACAGTTTATACCCTGGCACAGCCTTTGACTATCTTAAATAAAAGATTATGTCATGGCACTATAACAGAATTATTAGCTACAATGTTGTCGCCATTTACAAGAAAGCCAAACTTAACTCTAGGTACTGACTTTCCTGCACACCTCAATGAACAGCTCAACACATTTACATCGTGTAGCCCACCGTTCGCTCACACAGTTAATTATTTCCTGGATTTAAATATTACTTTCCATCTGTTAAAGTAGGCAAATACTGCTTGACTCCATCCTATTAAATGCAGTACTATTAGAAAGTAGTTCAGACGGGTAATACAAGTCTGTTCTGACGTCAGTGGAGCCAGTGAGCAGCAGCAGTGAATGTGGAGGCTATCGGTGGGGCTGTGTGATGAAGGGTGATGAGGCTGTCAAGGCTTGGCTCTGCATGAGAGATGATAACCAACACTCGAGTCATTACAGCTTACACAGGGTTTTGAACATGAACCATCTGTTCCAGTGATTAACACACAAGCCCTTCAATGACACACACTCACAAAAATCTAGACAACCATTAGCATAACACTGAAACTCTCGAAATAAGATCTCTGTATGTGCAAAGTAGACGTGCAGCGACTGGCCAATTTACTTGGCCAATTTCAATTTTCCAATTTTGGCCAATTCCGATTTTCTTTCTAAAAACTGCACAGATATTTTTATAACTTTTCTTTAATGAAAAATGAAATTGTACTAAAAACAAAACATTGTATTCAAGTTTAACATTTCCATTTTCTCTCTTTTTTCTAACAAAATTCAACCTAAAAGTGCAATATTTGTACTACTCCCAATATAAACAAATGCGACAGGTAACAGAAACAGAAGAATGTTACTACTGAGCAGTTCTTTTTTATTTTATTTTAATTGTATGCAGTTTGTATTTGCTGTGTTTTACCACTGGTTGGACACACTGTACATATGTACATGCATTTAATGTGTACCCAGTAATTCCCTCACTGTGTACTATTTGTCAGGGATTTGGACATAGTTTCCCTTCTCCAAGGTGTTTCTCTACGTTCCTCTGTGTGCTGCTTGTACACCAAGCGCTCCCAATATGTGAGTGAACACCCGCCCGGTACAGACACAAGCACGAGCCTTGCTCAAGGTGCACACGAGATGCTACACGCCGCACGTGCTACACTTTTGATCTGTGCCACTGCGTGCGCAATGCGGACTTTCATGCCTCTATATCTGGCTGGCACAGAATTGGAAATCTCAGAGTGATCAGCCAGTCACCAGTCAAAGCCAATCACTCGGTGCATCTCTAATGCAAAGAGACAAAGAAGTACAGCTTTTCATTAGACATTTGATCCAAAGTAGACTGGACAACAGGGCTTAAAATAAGATCTTAGCATATCTGAGCAATAAAACCTGTATACCTCATAAAAGATCACCATGTTTGGACACTGACTGGCAAACTGCACATGCCTTCACCAGATCTAGCCTTAAATCATAAAACATATATATTTTAGACAGTGGATACCTAAACCAAGCCCAATGGGACACAAAGGTTCAGGCCAAGTTCTGACAGAAATTTAAAAATTATATTCAGGTCTGGGTCAGATTCAGACACATAGGTCAAACTTTAGTCTGGATGGCAGGAGCACTCAAAGGTCTGCTTCATTAAATGATAAGAGTAAAAACACCATACAAATGGCTCAACTGCATCTGGCTCAGGTCGGGTTCAGACATTACATACTACAAGTCTGTAGGGTCCAAACAGAAATATGCAGCCCGATCCATGCTCTAATATATTTATCTCCTACACACAAACACAGCCACCTGTAGCAACCTGAACTGTGCCTAATCTGAATGTTTATAGAGGTTTTCAGCTGTCCTCCACTGTTAGATGTCCTTGACTCCAGGCACAATCAGACATACACACACTGCCTCTTATCGCTGCCTTGGAGATAATTATTTCCCAGATTTCCTGGCACAGCTTAAAAACAAATGCACACACAACAACACACATACTGCATTATGCATACCCAAACACATGTGGGAAGTAATGCTCAAGGTTAGATATTTCTATCTTTGTGACCCATGGATAAGTCCATAAGTGCTTAACTGGAACCCCTTGTACATTGTGGTCCACTGGGCGAGAGGTTAACTCGGCTCATCAAAGCCCTCCTGTGATTAGTGCCTGACAAGGAGAGAAAGTAAGTGGGCTGACTGATCATGCTTGCTAATTCATCAGAACCACCATAATAGAAAGAGTTCCCATATTAGCCCCAGGATTAAATCTGTAGAATGTAAGGAGTATATAAGGTGAGGCTGGGCAATTAAAATGTAAAGTAAAAATACAATAATGGTTCATTTATATCCAGGAAAAGGAAAAATCTATCATTCATGTTATTATTCATTTTAAACAGAGAGGAAAATGTTGTTTGTTTCCGTTTTGACAAGGCATAAAATGTAGCTGTCCTTGACTGGTCTGTGCATCAAAGAACCCGTTGGCTGAAATCCTGCTTTCCAGAGGGTCCAACCTATTCTGTGACCCTTCCACTGATAAATACTGACAGCTCACACTGACAAACAACACAGTCAGGAGAGCAAATACTGGGTAAATCTAGCTGCTCACTAAATCAAAACCTGTGCTGTGCAATCCCCTTTAGCCTTTAGCTACAATTAACTGAACTGAAGATTTGTTAGAGCAACAAGTGCAGCAGGAAAACAAAAAGACAAGGCCACAATGATCCACTCTAACAATCTCACAACAAACCCAGCAAATCATACCTGGAAAAAAAAAGCATAACCTGGCATAACTGAGCAGACTCTTCTTTTGTACTCACAGTAAAGTAAATGGTGTCGGACTAGCAGAGTGCATCCCCTTCCACAGATTGCAAGTGAAAGTTAAAATGTACAACTGGGTATGTGTGAGTATACGCAAAAATTTATTAAGAAGATTCATTTACACTAGGTGTACAGTGGGGATAAAAATGTATGAGGATTATGGAATTATGGAAAATGTCATTACAACTGGGTATGTGTGAGTATACGCACAAAATTATTAAGAAGATTCATTTACACAAATATTTATTAAATAGATTGTAATATTTGGCACTGCTCACACTTTGCACTGTAATGCACTAGGATGATCTGGACAGCTATAAGTGCAAGGCCATGTTCAGACTGAGCTTCAACTCATCACGTGACCAATGCAGTCCTTTGTGTTAAAACACAACAGGAAGTTGTATTTTACTGCACTCAAGTCTGAATGCCCCATTAACTGCACAAGAAGTAGTAGAGTTTCTGAGGTAGTCATGGATACACGAGAGCACATGTAGTATGGATGACAAATTAAAGAAATGAATGAGTGGAAAGTATAATAAATGTAGATGTTTTGGGCTAATGTGCTAAGATGCTCTCCACCACCATCAATACAGAAATCCAATGAATACTGTGTCAAAGAATGGTATTAATCTCTCCAGAGCACTGACGCTTGTCTGTCAGTCTGTGGTGGTGAAACACCTCATCAAGACTCTTACTGTTGTTTTTTTCACTTGATCTGTCACCCCGCTGTAGCACATAAATCCCACAAACAGTCTGTTGCCAAGGTGAGGTACCCTCACTCTATGGTGAGACAAAATAACAGCAATATCCAATTATAAGTGGTGACCCAAGTCCAATTCTGATGCCAAATCTCAAAATGACCTAGACATACTCTGGATATACCTGGATGTAAGACAACACGGATCTGAAAGCGGAATAACTCTTGAATGCTATCAACTTGTTTGACAGGGAAACCAATTCTACTGACAGAATAAAGGAGGGAGATCTACAATCTTAGATGGCAAGCAGGCCTGATGTGACACTGTGTGGGCCTTAATGTCAGCTGCGCTTTGATTAAGATATCTTAATGAGATTTAGCCTGGGGGAAAAGCAGTGAGATCACTGTGGATGAACACAAAAGGCACTCACATCCCAAACAATCAAACCAAATCAGTGCACAAAGGTATATTGATCAAGCCATGTGGATATGTCAGTCACTCACATGAGTAAATACCAGAGAAGAAAAAAAGTTTATGCACTACATTATTAATGCAAAACATGCATATAATATCAAATGATGCAAATAAACAATTACTAAAACAAACAATTGGATTAACTTGGACTTAACGTTAAGTTTAAAAAAACATGTTGCATGCCTGTTGATGCACTGTTTCTGTAGAGAATTGCTGTAAGGGTGGAGAAGTTAACTATGTCTGCATTATGCCAGTTAGAATGTGGGGTTTCTCAATTACCTGCTTTGTTTAGTGTGTCACAAATCTCCTTTCATCAGTACATATACTGTTGTTTACCTATCTATGAAGGAAAGAATTCAAATTAATTAATGCTGTTGCAGTTAGTCGTGCTGTCCACTTTCAAATTGTGGCTCAAACACATCAGGTAGAATTTGAGGTATTGTCATTGTTGAAAGCATAACTTATTTGTCAGTGTTTTTTGTTCCCTCATTGAAATGTGTTTCATGTAGCGACTCCCTCAGTGGTTTTGGTTAGGATAATGTTAGGATTCAGGCCACATCATTAAATTTGTGTCCCCTCTCTGCTGCAGATTGTCCTCTCTCTGTCCCTGTACCTTTCTGCAGGTATCCCTGGCTCTGGAATGCTACATTTCTGATGAACAGTACCCGGCCACATCATCCTGCCCAGTAGGGCTGCATGATAAATAATGTTGTGAGCAAGATTTAGATCCCAGTGTGATCTCATCCTCATGTGACAATGATTCCACCGTGTTTGCATTAGCAGGGAGATGCCTTGAATCAAACCAAGTGCTTCCTTGTCCTCACTAAGCTGCGTTAACCAATAGCAGTGTTACATCACGTGATGAGCTGTAGACAGGAAGAGAAGATCGATTCAAAAAACAAATCTAACATTTGACATTGTGAAAGATATTGCATGCCACCCACCAAGAGCTGGGGTCTATCAGAAGTTTCTTCTGTTAAAGTTAGTTTTTCCCCCCACTGTCACCAAGTGCTTGCTCAAGAGGTAGTTGTTGGGTTTTTCTTCTATAATAATAATAATAACAACAGTAAGGTATAAACCTTACTATGTAAAATGCCCTGAGATGATTTTTGTTGTGATTTGGTGCTATACAAATAAAACTGAATTGAATTACAATCCATCATTTAGCCCCAGACAAGCCCATCATTCACTTCAGACTAAAGGTTAGCTGAGAGCAACATGTAGCAACTGTCAAACTGACATTTAACACATGACTGCACTTTACATAGAAATCACTGCTCCTTGTCAGGCATTCAGAATAGTGCACTGGCAGCTAAAGGCTGATTACCAAGGTTATGCTTAAATTGGTGGAGAGGTCACCTGGCGCTCAGGTGAGGTGGGCAGTGCAGTCTGTGTGTTGGTCAGCAGATGTCATGGCCAGTAGTCTACACAGAGTCAGGAAACCAGTGTGCAATGAGAAAGTGCATGAAATAAAAACTGTAGACAAACTAGAATGCCATCACAAGTCACACTAAAACTGCTGGTCAGGCTGAATGATCACAAAGTCAAGGTGTAGTCTCTATAACCACTGACCAGCAACATCCGACTCTACACACATTAATATTTTAAACAGGCCTGTGTAAGATCAGTTTATACAACGGACCTGTTCTATCACACAGCCTGGCTACTGAATGCAATTGGAAACGTCTCCACCAGACAGCTGTATGTTCAAGTAAAATGAGAAGGAAATTCCACAACATCATCACCATCCAACAAATAGCTGTCACTGCTTAACATGCTTATCACCAAAATGAATGATAGCTATAGCGAAACAGTTTAGTAAGCGGCAATGTTAGCCCACAACGGTGCTGTTAATCAACCTTTTTGATACCAAATACATTTCTTTTAGCCCTTTTAGCCGTGCTAACAGCTAACGCCCAGCTCACCTGTGTTTGTGATGTCGAAATTCGCTGTTGAGAGAGGTTACTCATTAGTCTACGCGTGTACCAAAGACATTGCCAGTGCCGAGTTAATTTCAGCAGTGTTGACAGTGCAGATATCCGGAGCTCATAGTATTAACTTAGCATTAGTTATGTTATCCCGGGCTGACTGTCACCTACTGCAACCAGCCTTTCTTGAAATACAGTGGCTGTGTGCCGTCCTCTGCCTGTCAGGCTCTGTGTTTACCTGTGGGGCTAACGCTAAGGGGCTAGTTGCTTCAAGCTAACTAGCCATGTACATCACTGTGAAACAAACTAGTTGCAGCGATACACACACGTCTATTTCACCGGTGCTTACATACCTCTGCAAACATCGTCGAAAAGGCTGTGTGTGCGGTGGCTCTGGCTAACCCCACCTCATTGTAACATTCGAACAGGTTATTTTCTCAGTTAAAAACGGTCGTATTTCCAATCCTTGTACTCTATTCGGAGTGTCGCCATGTTTGCAGGGTTTGCCTCTTGGACGCCCCGTATGTCGACGTCGCTATGCGATTGGCTGGGAAACGATGACGCAGAACATATCCGTGGCTGATTGACAGACACAAATGCAGTGATACAGACGACTGACTGACTTAAAAACAACATTCCACCACCTTCCGACATCTCTTACGAGGTGTATTTAAATTCAATGTTATGGTAGCCTGTTAAATGGTCTACAATACTTATTATGCTGCTCAAATGTAACCTGCAACACCAGTCAGCAGATTTCTATCTAACATGATCTAAACATGTATAGGCTATGTGTACCCACAGAAGAAAATGTACAATTTTTATGCCTGTCTCTACAACATGTGTAGCTCACAGCTGAAAGGATTAGGACTGATGAGCTACAGCTTTCATCTAGGCCTATACTTTAATACTGTAGGCAGGCTAAAGGAGTAGTGGAAAGTTCCTACTGTTCTTGAGTTAGTTGTACTGTACTTACTTTCATGACTACTTTGCTCTTCAGCTTTGCTACATGGCAGATATAGCAGAAATATTGTACTTTTTTCTACAGTATTTATTTCACACACAAAGCATATGATCAGTTTAAATAATAGAATTTGTGATTATAGATTAAACTACACAGCCAGATATAGCCTAAAGTAGTCTAAATTTCCTCATCTCGACCAATTATGCACCAGTAACAAAAATCTAATAATATAACATTTACAGGACATTTTTTTCTGTATTATGAGTATTACCTTTTAATACTTATGTAAGATTTTATAATGAAGTTTAATTTGCAATGGAATATCTCTGATACTGTGGAAATGTTATTTTATTGAAGTAAAGGATCTGAATGCTTCTTGCACCACTGAATATGCATTTTAATATTCATAATATAGTCACCCCCTGATTCTAGTCACACAGGTTAAATAAAGTGCATTATTAGAAGACAGAATAAAAGAGCAGTCTGATCACACAGTTGGCCAGCAGTTACCTGCAAACTGGGTGATAATACATAATTTATTGCCACAGTGGCACCTTCATTAACCTGAGCTGTACCTAATACTGCCTGGCAAAGAGAGAACAAAGAGGAAGAAACAAAGAGTTCCAGTGTTACTGATAAATATTGCTGGCTACAGGTGATCTCACCATAGATTTGTGTTATGATGCACGACTCCAGGTGGACAGAGCTGTCACTGATGAAGCAAAAAATTGTCCCTGGCTCCATCACATCCAGAAGAGCGAAGCACACTCACCAGACTGCCCATTCTTCTAATTTCCAGGTGAACACAGACGAGATCTCCACTGCCTTCTCATATTTCTTGTTTCTCTATCTTCCCCTGTCTTTCTGTTTATTTCTCTCCCTCTCTCTATCACACATCACTGAAACACATGGGCACCTAATGACAGTAGACTTTATACCCACACTTTATGAGTTATGAGTTACAAGCTTGTTATGAGCAAAACATGTGACAAGCTAACTGGTGCGTTTGCATTCAGTAATGTGAGTGCATCAAAGTGTAAGTGATTTTTCTGAAGCAGCAACCAAGATAACAGCAGTTTGCTGATCAACCTGTTTTACAGGTGTGGTCATCTATGCACCATGGGCATTGCTTTTATAGTGAAGTTTAATTTTATGCCATGATTCTTTAAAAGATTGAACTGCACTTTCTCTGAAGGGCTCTGAAACTGGTGACTAGTGGTTTTAAGCAGGTTTTAAGAGACTGCATAACGTTACTAACATGCAGTGTGGTATCTTAACCACTAGAGGTTACTGCCAAGCCATTATAGACTTCTGTAAGGGTGAGTGGGTGGTCCAAGAAGAACTATTACTGGAATGCCTCAAATAAATCAGTTTGTGCAGTCCAGTCACAGTTTGTCAGATTAATAGAAAATCAACAATCCCTTTGAAGGAGAGCACAAAGGGACAGCAATGGCCAGCATAAAGCTGTAAAGTCAGAAGCCTTGCAGGTAAATGCAAAGTGAGAAGATTTCAAGCAGAGATCATTAACACACTTGATTTTAAAAAGAAGTCATGCGCTAACGGCCCATAAGATGAAACAAAATGGAATTTGTAAGATTGTCACATGCTGGTGTTTCCTTTTCGCCTGCTAACCCTTTTTGACAGCTAAGCACTGCAAGATTAATTTGAGAAGTTTAGATGGACAATTTTAAATAATTTTTTACTCTAAAACTATTTACCATTGCAATCATTTGTTAATGATTCATTTGACCGCTTTTTTAGACTGTAATGTATTAAAACCCTGTGTGCAGAACACACAGCACACAGCACAGCAGGTAATGTTGTAAGAACATTTAACATGATTAGCAATAAGGTTGGCTGATTTAATGGAAATTTTGGTTAAACATAAAGACATAATAATTATGCACATTTGTTGAATGATTTTAACAGCTCAAACTTCATTTGTCTTTTAAAGGAGTCACTGACATAGCATACTCACTTGTTCTGTTTTGTAAGCCAACGAGTGACCTGAGGGATGGCATCCATGATGGTCTGGCCTGGAGGAGGAGGACCGGTGTGTCATAGTTCAGAGATCAGGAAGTGGTATGTGATGGCCAGTGGTAATTTAATGACAGAGGAAACACAAGTTATATATCTTAGTTGTTTGCTAGAAACATGTCCAAAATGTTATTTTTAAATTTTCTGCCTGGTGCACTGCAGATTTAGGCAATGTGAGAATTTCACAAATACAGAAAGCATGAAATCTTTCAATTGAAGCAAATGTTACACTTAAAAATGTATCTTTTGAATACCAGATATCCCAAATAAACTCACACCATTCACTGGGTGAGAGGTGGCGTACACCCCGTACAGGTCAACAGTCTATCACTGGGCTAATACCAAGACCATTCGTTGTCACACTTACAGGTAATTTAGAGTTGCTAATCAAATTAACCTGGAGGTCTTTAGACTGTGGAGGAAGATGTACCCAAAGAAAACCCATGTAGGCCTGTGGAGAACATGCAACCAGCACAACAGCCCTCATCAGCCTCAAGGTTCAAACCTAGAACCACTTCGCTGAGGTAGCAGGGACACACAACCATTGCATTATAGTGCCACCCTATAAGCCATAATTGTGAATTATAGATAAACAACTGTGAAAATTAGACACTGATGTTGCAGCATTGTTTTTACAAAGAATTCCAACAAACAATATGTCCAGCCATATGTTGGCCGAGTGTTTGGAAGCTGAGGAGTCACAGTCAATAATCACTGTTTTCTGTCAATGAGGAAACCATAAACTTTTTACAGCCACTTTAGGTAAATATTTGATGTTCAAAGGATATATTTTACGTAGAGCATTTTTTTAAGTAATGAAAAAAGATCAGAGTTACAAGGTTTACAAGTTGTTTTTTCTATCTGATAGCACTAACACATGGAAGATGTGTTAGTTTTGTTGGCTGTGTGGCGCAGTGTGCGTCCTTGCATGTTTGTGCGTGTGTTGCTGTGGTGGCAGAGTGACACAAGGTAGATTAGGGGTGACACTGGCTAAATGTTTGCAGATGAGGGCTCCCAGTATCTAATCACCACAGTAACAAGGGTCACCACTGTGGGCCAGTGGGCCAAGTAGCCTAAGGCACTGTGGGTATTGATTGGGCAAAATATTTTCTTCAGAATCATCCATTTGTGGGTACATATGTGTGTGAGTGTGCCCTCAGTTGTTCCTCTGACCACTCGCCTGAGGGGAAAGTATGTTTGGCTGCTGTGCTTGCAAACTCCACTTAACACAACCTTCTCCCCCTGACCTCAGCATATTCCACACAGTGACAGTCCTGGCCGGAGGATGAGAGTGGACACATCTTGGGGCACAACAGCTGTGTCACTCTAGTGCTGTGTGCAAATTCCTGTGGTCTGGTAGTATCCGCTGTCAGACATGCACAACATAATTTAGATAGTTTACTGTCCCTGTGGGGAACATGCTTTTCAGGAAAAATATTTGGCATGACATTGCATGAAGACAGAATAACAAGCCACATGACTCTTCCCTATGAACGCAGACCCCAAAGCTACACTGACAAGAGGTTGCTAACCTCAATGGGAGTTGACCTAGTTAAGTAAAAACTGGATGATTGCTATCAAAAGAGAACAGTTTTTTAAAAAAGTCAATTAGCTTGACTCGGTTAAATTGAGTGGTTTTGTTGTTTATTCATTCTTCTTCTCAATAAACCAGCACAATGTTGCTCTTTTTATTTCCTCCCTCAGCCTTGTCATGCTTGGGTTTATAAAGTAAAATAATAACCACATTGAGACATGAAAGACCTATGTTTGACTTTTTAAAAGAATACAAATAAACCTGCTTTTCATCCATTAAGGAAATTCCACTAAAACATTGTGGGGATACTGTGGGCAGGAATACCACAGGTCTTCAGGGAACACCACAGGAGAATATATTTCCCAGAATCTGGGGCCTGTACAGCCACAGCAGCAGCTCTTTCTGAATCTGAATGCATTTTGTTTTGAGATAACACAGGTAGTAGAGCTTTTTGTCTCCCTGACTGTTCCTCTCTGGAGGGCCTGAAAAGAAAACTTTAACATAGGGTAGAAGAAGAGAAGGGAGTAGAGGGATAACATTTAGGAGAGGAGAAAAAGGTGCATTTTTCAAACGGCAAATAATTTGTCTGCCCTGACATGATGCTGCACAGGACCACTTCCTGTGGTTCAGGTTTCAGTGAGTGTAAACGTGCTATGGGGGGAGGGTCCACTTCCTTCACCAACCTCTAAATTTGGGGGCCTTAGATTTGTGGCAAACTTGGAAAGATGCAGTGAAAGAAAGGCTTTCTAAAAGATTTAAAAACATGACTACAGTGAATTGCATTAACACATGCAGGTAAAAATAGCCTCTTAAACATATGCAGAGGTAATACGATGTAAATAGATGACCTTATGTAGAAGGGCTTAAACAATAAAGGTTAATAATTGTTATAATAGCAAAATGTGGGATGAATCAGAATGAGGAATTGTACATTAGTGCATACAGGTGCTGTTCATGTGTGTGGTCATTTCTAAGATAAACAAGCTTGTTCAGACATTATGTTTCCCCTCCCTTTAAATTAATGTCAAGCTCACTAT